GACCAATTGCCTGCAAAAGGTATCATCCTTTTCTATCCTTGCAAATTACAGACACGGTTCATATGTACCTCCAGGTCCCCCTCAAAAGCTGTAATGTCACATGCCCAGGTCATGAAAGAAAATGTTAATGGCAAAAATTTTTCTATACCATTATCCCCTTAGTATCATTAGCATATCAAGGCTGTCCTCATAAAGAAAGGGAATAGTTTATTAGACTCTAAACCTTACCTATCAAGAGACAGAAAGCCTAGGTAATATCTAAAAGGATTTTTTTTTTTCTCAAGGACTGAGAGCTTTTCCAGCACAAATGCTAAGCACAGGACAAGAACAAATGTTCTTGCAGGAGTTAGTCCAAGACAATGGCATGAGCTTTCCAGGTGTTTAACTATCACAACATTGTGATCTCTGCTGCAGGGAGTGATGTTTCCTTTTTCAGTCTCAGCCCAGCACAGTGTATGTTTCAGGAGCTCACACATGGCACACTTTACCCTCAGAGAGTCAATTCCTATACACACAGCCAGAAGATGCTCACGATCCTATGCTCCCTACTGCTGTATAAATCCCTATACAGAACAAATATATACCGTACTTCAGAAGTCAGGATAACCTGAGCATAACTACTACAATTCAAAACCCCTGCTCAGACTAAGGTAATGTTTTTTCACACACTGGAGATACATCTGCAGCACCTGTAGCTGTACTCAAGGTATCATGAGTGGAGTTAGCAGCAAAGATATACACCTACTTACTGTGTAATCTGCCAGGTTCCCTGGAGGATATCTATAGCCTAGAGTACAATTTTGTAGCTATTAATATCCAAGCTAGCTAAATTAAAGTTAGCTCATGTACAACTGTATGTGCTGCAATCACGTTTTCAATCACAGGACAGAAAATATCACAAGTGGCTTAAGAGCAGACTTAGCAACAAAAACGAAGGTTTTTCTGGGCATGCCTGCCTGCACAGACAAGCACAACTGGCTTCAGTATGCGCTTGGAGGACAGCCAAGGCCTGGCCACACACTGTGTGAGGACATGAGCACTGCACTGTAGCACAGCACAGAAGAGCAGTGCAAACCCACTGGCAAAGGCACAGCCTCCAGTGTTCCCTGTTTCTGAATATCACAGTTTTAACTCAGTGCTGGAGCCACCCACCACTCCCCAGGGCGCTGCAGGTAAACAATGCACACATTTTCCATCTGTGGCTGATGGGGGTCCTGGCACAAGAATGCAGTTTTTCTCCATGGGAGAAGAGTATGAGCTACTGCTTGATTCAGAAAAATTTCTTACAGCATTTTTTTATTCAGGCAAATTATTAAATCTCTCTTGTCGTCTCAGTTTTCCCATCTGTAAAACTGATGTATCTACTTGAAAGAAGCACACATCTAAGCAGCACTTCAGAGATGAAAATCTCTAGATAGGTGCTTATGAAATGTGAAGAACAGGTAAAAGTGCACATGGAATGGTTATCATGCTATAACATCTATGCATTATTTTTGTGTGCCTTCTGTAGGTTTTAATCCTTATTTATTCTTTTAAAGCTGATATAGACAAATGCAATCTGGATTCAGCTGCTATAGGTAGACACTTTAAAGGATTAAAGTGTAGGTATCTATTTTAATTAATTAACAACAAAAGATGGATTTTTCAATGTCACTGTCTCTAGCAACTAAATCAGTTTAGAAGATACGGGTTTCTTCTTGTCAATTTGTCCTTGATCCCCAGGTTGGATTTATGCAACCAATTTGAGATGTTTAGCATAAGTACATCCAGTGAAATTAACCAGGTTAAATTTAAAGAAAAAAGGAAACAAAAAATATCACGTACACACCCATTCCTTTCCGAAAAAAGAAAGAGGTAAAAAAAGTTAATCCAGAACAATTTAATAACCTGGTTGAGTAAGAAGCTTTGCAAACATTGTGGGATAGCTGGGGCACCCAAGTTCCCACATGGAAACGCTAGATACGTTCTAACTAAAGTTGGGGAAGACAGCTGGGAAAACACAATGGCAAAAATCTCCTGGGCTGGCTACAAACCTATCTGCTAATTTCATAACTTCTACAATTTTATTTTGATGAGGCCTTCAGACACATTTGTTCTGCCTGGGTGGGTCTAGATGTGGACACCCCTCTCTGCTACCCTACAACTCTACACATGCAGAGTTGCCACATTGTAAAGCCCAACAGGAAGAAGCTTCATTAGGTGAGAAATGAAATATTCCTGGATGCAGAGAAGACACCAAATGTAGCAGCTGCGTACATCATGCTGCACATTAGCTGCAAACCTGCCTGCAGGCACATTCCCATATATCCATTGGTTTCAGGCATTTTCTCACACTGCTGCCAGGCAGGTAGGGACAAACTGGTGCCACTGGCAGCCACTTGCTGCCTGGGACTGGCAGCCTCTGGGTGTCTGGATCCAAGCAGCAGAAAACAGTTCAAAAAGAGACTGGCCTTTGTAATTCCCATTTTGGACATAGAAAGGGTATCCAGCACAGGTTTGTACACGAATCCCCAGGAGCATCTTGCGGCCTCCCAGACGGGGACTGCACCCAAGCACAGGGGAGTGCATGGTCCAAATTGCACTGTGAGTACACCGTCGAGAAGGCAATTTGGGCCACTCCTACATTGCATACATAGAAATATAAGTGTCTTAGAGGGGAACAAATGCTACAATGGAGGTGAAACAGAGGGTGTTCAAGCTCACACTCAGCCAAGTCCTGCCAAACTAACCTGAGATTATTCTCACTCTTTTTTTATATTAAAAATTGCTTTTGAAGAATGCACATATATGCAGGTTTTGCCATGGTATATAGATCACAAGCTGTTGGAACAGCATGCCCTATGAGGACCATTGGCCAGGCACTAATCAGACAAGAAGATCCCATCCCCAGGAAGAGAGGACGTCCTTCCCGGTTATGATGTTACACCAGTTTCATTCCAAATCACATCTCCCAGAAACATCCTCCCATTACTCAAAGCTACCTCTGGCCTGGGTGAAATTTTACAACATGGAACTGTAAAGACACACCACTGAGACATTGCAAAACCAGGTTAAATCTTTCAAGGAATTATTCAGACTCTACAAGGGGAAACAGTGAACAGATACAGCCTACATTACCCCAGCTTATTTATTCTCATACACCTATTTTGAAAGATATGTCAAAACAAACAGAAGACCAGGAAAATATTTGAGATTTAGTTTCTGCAAGTGTTACACTTTAAGCTAAAATACAGCCTAACTGCTCAAGAGAGGTTACATAAAAATAACCTGGCTTACTATCAGATTTCAAACCTTTCCTCTCCAGCCTCTCTCACTTAAAAACTTGTGTTGACTCACCAACCCTGTCAAAAACAACAATTTGAAAAGCAAAGTTTATATGTGGTGTTAATTGGTATGTTTCTGTTTATTACAAGGCCACCAGGACTTTGCTTTTTTATCCTGTGTAATTTCTTTTGTCTCAACAATATATGAAATTTATATCCATTTTATTTTACATTAATAATAATTTCCAGTATAAAACTCTGTTATTTTGAATGAGAACTGAATGTTTGCTACAATTTCCTATTTAATATTTAATTATTAATAAAATGAGAACAAAGTTCCTGCTAAAATATCCATAACACAAATAATTGAACAGAAGAGGCACCAGTGTTAAAATTCTCAGATGCTGGATCCTGAAATTCCTCAGATATTGAAAAATGAGTAGATAGAACAACAAGGTGCCATCTGTTTGTATTTAATGGCAAGGGAGAAGTGGTTTATGTAAATTAACTTCTCCAGATTACATCAAACTCCCTTATTCCATTTTGTCTTACCAATAGAACATGAAAATACCTTCCAATGCAAATTTTGTCCAGTGTTCTATATCAGCAAAAATTAAAAAAACTAAGACAGCCAAAAGTAATATGTGAACAACTATCTGCCCTACCATTTATGTTTTAGAGGTGTACAGCAAATGGTGCCTCATGAATACTGCATCTGCTTAGGGAAGCCATTCTGAGAGTTTCAAAACCAAATAGGACAAGGCATTGCAGTAGATTTCAGTAAGAAGTGGCTGTCTTCCACGCAAATCACTGAGATGCAGTTACAGTATTGTGAATTTCATTCCAGTTCGCCACTTAATTATTGCATGGCCTTCAGCAAGTTACTTGAAATCTCTCCTTTTCTTTCTGCTCACATATTTCTTTATGTTCCCTTTAGAGGTGAAAGGGAAGAATGGATAAAGGACTTGAAATGTAATGGTAATTTTCCACCAGGAATAAGGCTTTATTTCTGGACAGTTTTTATTTCTTTTAAAAAAGGCTTTCAAAGTGTATTCTTCATACAATGGTAACTGCTGTCAAGTGCTCCAACACTAACATACACCAACATTATGCCTTGCAGATCTGGATTTGATACTGTTTGATGTTATTTGATATTGGATTTTATTCACAGTGCTCTTCTTACCCTCCTCAGGTTCTGCTGCTCATTAAGAACAAGGTCTAGGAGTTTTGCTATACCCCATTTTGGACACAGGATTTTAGTAAAAAGAGAATATAACAAGCTTGACATGGATAAGATAAATTGTTCTGAAAATGGTAGAAACACAAATCCTACATTAAAAACACCCCAAACCTGTCTCCTACCACATAAAAAAGCTTCTTTTCTGAATCACGGGAACCTTAATGTGTTTCAGGTTTTTTAAATAGCCATAGTGTCAAGGTCAGCTTTTTTCTCTGGTTCATAATTTGAAATAATTTATTATTTCATTTCAGAATCTTTCCCATGCTAGTCCTTGGCCAAAAAGACAGGTTGAGACAGATGTACAATGGTTAGCATTTCAGCTCAAAGAGTTAAAACTCACGCTGTTATGACAATTGTCATGACAAGTATCAGTGCCTGGAAAAGCAGATGTGCTGCCATCCATGCGATAACACAGTCAGCTTTGGTGTTTGCAGAAAAAAAATTTCCACAACAAAAACACAGATTTTAATCCAATCTTTATGCTTTTTATAGACTAGTTTAAAATTTGTCTGTAATGCATTTTACTTAATGAGGAAACAAAACAAAACAAAAAAAATAAAAATCACTCCGCTTTTGTATTTTCGTCACACTTGTGACCCAAAACATCAGCAAAGTGTAAGACTGTTAATTAGTTGGACATGAGCTTTTCACTTGATCTGAATTTAGAGAAGAATGTACTATTTTCTCCTTTTATGCTAGAGTACATGTCACCCGTGTCATTGCAGTGCCAACACAGGCACATTCTTAAGTATCACTTAAGACAGAAATTACATGAAACATCCATGCACCTTTCAAAAGCACAACTACAATAAGAAAACAACAAGAAGTGGGAACACAAAGAACCAAAAAAGAGCTCCATGTCCCCCGCTATTTGTAAATATGAGCGTGCCTGAGCACTGGGTAAAAAAATAAAACTATATCTAAATGCAGATAGCAGCTAAATATCATAAAATGTCCATTGTGGGAGATATCAGCATAATTTTTATAAGACAGAAGTAAATAAATTAGTTAATTTTCTGTTTATCCTCTCACAGTATTTTATTTTCTAAGACAACAGAACAAGAATAATACCCATATCTCAGCTTCGCACTTTTCCAAGGAATCAGGCTTCCAAGAATGTGAATGAAAGGGTCTTCCAAATTATTTTTTAGGGTCGCAATTTCAGCAGGTACAAGGTTATCTGCCTCTTCTTCTTAGCCAACCATCATGCACATCTGGGAGCAATAAAATGTGCTACAGGAGAGAAATGGGAGCTGTAGGTGTTTGGTTGTCCCTGATGGCTTCCATTAAAGGTGTTTCAATGGCTGGTGCATTTAGTGCTCAGGTTTACATTGCCCCTGAGAACAGGATACTTGGATGCACTTACCCTCTGTAGTGCTGCAGAGGTGTTTACTTAGCTATCTTTATTCACTTAGTAGAGACCAGTAGTTTTGTCCCTTTCTGTGCTCTTCCAAAGTCCTTCCATGTGACACGGGAAGGATCTGGTTGTAGTTCACAGGAAGAGTCCAATGACTCTGCCATGACTGTGGCTGAGAGTGGAGAGGCAGCACATGCAGGAAGGCCACTTAAAGGAAGAAAACCCAAAGGGATGGTTTCTCAAAAAAGTTGCTAGTGGGGCCACATAGATTTGAAACATATGCTGCTGTACAGTGGCTGGAGCTCACCAAGATCATGTTATTAATTCATCCAATAGCAGAAATCCGAGTCAAATCTCCAGAATTCTGGGAATACATGTGTATCTTATGGTGAACTTAGTGTTCCTTCCAATATCAGAGGCTAAGGAAAAAGCAAAAATACTCCAGTTACATACAACAGCTTGGACTAGTGCAAGACTAACCCCCAGCTGCTGTTCTTCCCTTCTATTCTGGAGCACAATAGAACCACAGTGAAGATGCAGCTGGGGTAGGTCAAAAATGGAAAATCAGGAGAGGTGTCCTGACCCAGAAGTATCATTTTGGACATAGTAATCACAGTAATTACTTCAGTAGTATGATGCTTTCTGGCAACAGATTTAACTTCACAGTCCTTTGGGCTTCCCCATGTTATTCTCCCATTATCTTATAAAAATCATGGTTAAAATTTGCAAATTATGCTGTGTCAAAACATACCTGGTAGAGACAAGTATGGAACACATACTGTATATCTGTATATCTGTATATCTGTATAGTGCTGGATTGTGCTGGATTCTGAGCTGGAAAATGTCACAGCTGCTGTTGGCTCCATGCAGGAAAAGTACAGAAGGGAGCAGGGTCTGCTGCCCCAGGTTTGCTCTTATTACCTGTAGTAAGTGTAGTAGTACCTGAGTAAGTGACCTGTAGTACCTGTGAGACTATAATTTCACCAAAAAGAGTAGTACAAGAACTTGATCTACACTGACATCTCTAACCTGTCACTTCTTCCACTTGTCAGAGCATGGCTTTAGCAGATTACAGCATGTATGATAAATCTGGCTCTATATTCCCATAAAAAACAGTTCCAAAAGGACCTTGATGCTAACTATTGCATGATTGAAGTACCTAGCATATCAAGCTACATTTGCCTTCTCAAGAATAGTATCCCTTCTGATAGAAAAACAGTGACTACCCACACAAGATTTGTTTTTTCTTTCCTCTTCATGCAATGTCCTGTTCAGTGATAATCTAAATCTCTTCCTGAAAAAGTAGGGTAGGGTATGCAACCTACACATATGGTTCAAAGATACATCTTTCAGAAACACTTCCAGCTCTCTGCAAATCCAGCAGGGTTTTGTTTTCTCTCGGTTATATTTGTTTTGTAATAAAATCTAAGGTTTTACTTCATTAACTGAAACAAAACTGCTTATGTTAAAGGAGGGCAAAAGCACATTAAAATTCTTTCTACTATGAATATCCAGGGAAGTCAGGGTGGAAATGCCATTGTAGACTTGTTCCTTATGAAATTCTGTTCATTAGCATAGGAATAGGCCAGATTCTAGTGATATTAGTATAGTAGCCAAAAGTATTGAAAGTATTCTTTTTACTTACTTGTATATTTTGGAGACTGCATCTCTTAATGCTATAAAGGTCCTTTGGTCTTGGTAAGTTGTAATTTATTGAAAATGAGCAATTTGCAGTGTGTTTCTGTTCATGCTTCCTACCAAATGATAATTAAATCATTTTGTTCTAATATTAATATCCTTCATCATGTAGTACTCATTAACCAGCCACTACATAAAGCTGTAACTGTGATCTTAGTAAAATATATTAAGATATTTTTCAAATTTATTTAAGAATAGCATGAAACTCTCCAATCACAGAGTTTTGATCTATTTAACTAGTACCATATTTTTTCTTACAGATGTAGCATTCTTCTAAATCAGGGCTCCTTTTAAAGCAATCAATCTCAAAGTTAGTCAGGTAGTGAAAAACAGTCCATCAGACTATTGCTTTATGGGAATATAAAATAGCCAGGGCTAGCTATCCATCATACAAAACTCTGTTCGGCCTGAAATGAAACACTGCAAATAATCAGAAAACATTCCACTCCTATTAAACACAAGCCCCTGTCCATCCACATGAGAGAGGACCAGAATTTTCTGTATTTCACAGACAGAAACAGCAATTTTTACACACAGATCTGGTGCAGCACACCTGAAACAAATCTATTTCTGCAGTCTACAGGAAAACACTTCAACAAGCAATTAAACATCTGAAAGGCAGGTGACTGTCATTAGCCATTTGTATAATTAGCTTAACTGATCATAACCCACTTAAACAAAAAAACAGTGTACTTAGACACTACACTTGCTCCAGGGAGTCTACATGGGCATTGAAGGATCAAGTGTGCATTCCTGTTTCCATGAAAACACTAAACTCTGGGCTGTTTGTTAGGGTGAGGTTCACTAAGACGATAACCATGAAAAAAACTTCAGGTCTGCCCTCCCAGGTCCCACCCACAATGCCCAAAGCCACCAGCCTAGCTAACACATATGCTGCCCATCAGCAATTTGTATCAGATGCCTACTTAGTTACTGCCCCAGTAACTTCGGGAATTTGCATGGACTTCACTGGTTACAGAGGCCAAGTTTCACTCAGGACAGCTGAAAAGGAAAGGAAAATATAAAAAGCATCTTAAGATGTGCAAACCTCCAAATTTTTTCCCAGTCTTATGTATTCCAAATGCTGAGCATGACAAGATCATACAATAGGAACACAATCATAGAAGGGCTTGGGTTGGAAGGAACTTTTAAAGGCCATCTAGGCCAAACCCCCAACAATTAGGGATATCTTCAACTATGTAAGGTTGCTCAAAGTCCCATCCAGCCTAACCTGAAATGTTTCTGCAGACAAGACATCACAACTTCTTCAGGAAAGTTGTTCCAATGTTTCACCATTCAGATTGCAAAAAGTTTTCCTTTGATGCAGGCTGACTCTAACCTCTTCCCATTTAAATCCATTCCCCCTTGTCCTATCACTACATGCCCTTGTAAAAAGCCCCTCTCTGGCTCTCTTTAAAATCTCTGTAAAATCCCTTTAGGTACTGGAAGGTGCTATAAGGTCTCCCTGGAGACCTTTTCTTCTCCAGGCTAAGCAACCCAAACCTCTCAGCCTTCCTTCATGGCAGAGGTGTTCTCTCCATCTAATCATTTTTGTGGCCCTCCTCTAGACTTACTCTAGCAGAGCCCCGTCTTTCTGGTTCTCAGGACAACGGAGCTGGATCCGGCACTCTAGGTGGAGTCTCTTGAAGGAATAGCAGAGGACCAGAATCCCCTTCTTCCCTGCTGCCCACAGGGTTCTGGATACAGCCCAGAACATGTTTGGCTCTCTGGGCTGTGAGTGCCATGGCTGGGGCATGTCCAGCCTCTCACCCACAGCACCCCCAAGCCCTCCTGGGAAGCGCTGCTCTCAGTCTGTTCATCCCAGCCTGTGCTGACACCAGGGGTTGCCCTGATCCAAATGCAGCACTTTGCACTGGCCTTGTTGAATCTCATGGAGTTCCCATTGGCTTCTCCAGCATGCCCAGGCCCCTTTGAATGACATCCCATCCTTCAACAGCACCTCTCAGCTTGTGGGCACCTCTAAACTTGCTGAGGGTACACTCAATCCCTTTGTTTATGTCACTGATGAAGATATTAAATAATTCTGGTGCCAGTTCAGAATCCTGAGGGCACCATTTGTCTGTGATGTCCATTGGGACTCTGAGCCATTAACCACCACCATCTGGAGGGGACTGTCCAACAACTGAACCCATCTCTTTCCAGTTTGAAGAGAAGGATGTCATGTGGGATAGGGTCAAGGACTTTATGGAAGTCCAGATAAATTATCTGTGAAGCTTCCTTGTCCAGTGATAAAGAAGTATCAAAGTAGGCCACTGGATCAGCCAGACAGGAATTCCTCTTGGCAAAGTGGTGCTGGCTGTCTTGAATTGCCTCCCTGTACTCCATATTCCTTAATGGAGCTTCTAGGAGCACATGTTCCATAGCCAGGCTGACAGGTGAGTAGTTCTCAGATCCTCCCACCTACCCTTTTTAAAAAGAGATATTTCCCTTTTTCCAGTTAGCGGACACTTCCCCTGATTTCCATGACTTTTTAAATATGGAGAGTAGCTTGGCAACTACATCAGAAAATTTCGTCAGGAGTCTGGGATGTATCTCACCAGATCCCATAGACATGTAGGTTCAAGGTCTTCAACTGGTCATGAACATGATCATTACTCCCCCCAATCCCTGTCTTGAAGTCCACTGACTTGAGAGGTTTGAGAAGAGAAATTGACAATGAAGACTTGAGGCAAAAACTGTTCAGTGCTTCAGCCTTCTCCTCATCTGTTGTTACCAGTTTACCAACCTTGTTTAATGGGGGACAGTACTCCTTCCTTTTCTGGCCGCAGAAACCCATCCTGTTTTCCTTTGTGTCTCTTGTCAAATTCATCTCCAAGAGCACTTTGGCCTTCCTCATCCTATTCCTACACAACCATGCAGCATTACTATATTCTTTACAGGATACTTGTCCCTGTTTCCACTATGTGTGCATTCTTGCCTCTGAGATGCTCACCAGGTCTTGACTTGTCCACACCAGTCTTTCCTTATCTTCCCCTCCTTATCTGGTTTCTTACAGATCAAGAGTTTTGTGCTCTAAGGAAAGTGTCCATAAAGATCTGCCAGCTTTGTTTTGCTCTCTTGTCCCTGAGACAATTTCCCAGGGCATCCTACATACTAATTCCTTGAGCAGCCGGAGTTTGCTTTCCTAAAATTCAGTGTCCTGACTATACTCTTCCCTGTCTCACATTCTTCAGGACTGCAGACTCCACCAGTGATGCTCACTGCAGCCCTGGCTGCCTCCATCCTTGATGTCACCCATGAGCTCACTTGCAGCAGTGACCATCAGGTCCAGTAACAGAGCTCCTCTGTCAGGGCTGTCCATTACCTGGCTTAGGAAATTATCCTCTGTGCATTCCAGCAGTCCCCTGAATTGCCTACAGCTCACTGTGAAGTTTTGACCTTTTTGTGGCTGTTCTTCAGAGTCCTTCACAATCCTTTCACATTCCTTACATAGAGGGCAAACCACAGAGAACCTTGCCCATCCCTTCTGAACAGCCTGTAGCCATCGATAGCCACACTTCTCATGGGACTCATCCCACCAGCTTTCAGAGATGGCAACTAGGTTGTCAGCATGTCTAGCAGCATGGTGGCTTACAGCTGTTGTTTGTTTGAAGATTAGATTGGAGAGATGATTCATCTGCCTGGGGATGGTCAAGAAGCAGTCCACAGATATTCAGTGAGGTGAAAGTACCCAAGTAAGTGACCGGCATCCTCCACAATAAGCTGGGGAGGGTGTCCCATCACTTCTTACATCTTTATTTATTCTCTGAAATCTCTTAGTTCTTTGGTAAGGTCCAAGATCTACATTCATCTTTCCAAGCTTATTGTTCACTTTCAGGTCACAGGTAATGAGAAAGGAAATTGTGCCTGTGGCTTTATAACAAGGCCTCTCTCCTTTCTCCTCTCTCCAGGGGGAGCAGAAAGGACAGTCTGTCTCTAGCTACCCTGCAGCTTCACTCAAAGGCAATGTGAAAAATCCTCCTGGGCATCAGCCTGGAGTAGTTTTGCTCAGGGATGTATTGACAGCAGATCTAGGTCAAGGAGAAGTTTCTCCTTGGAAAGGATCATGACAAGGATCAGCAACATGGTGTGGCTAAGATAGTATGTTTTGTTTGTCCTAAAGAGAGCAGACACATGGTATCTGTGGTAGATTAGTCTCTATTGATTCTACACAAGGCTCACCTACAGTGTCCTGAGGACTGAAATACTTTATTTCTACTACAATCTTCTGTTTTGAAATAGGGCACATGGACAAAATTTGACAGGGTTCTTCAGACATAGAGGTGCTCTTAAAAGCTTCTTGTAGTTCTCACATTGATGGCATCCTTCTCTGACTCCCAAAATGCCACAGGTAAGCCTGAAGGCACAAAAAAAAAAAAAAAAAAAAAAAAGGCAGAGCTTCTGGGTTTTGTTTGGATTTGTATTCTCAAAGCAAACAGTGTGAAAAAAGTAGCTCAATTCAGTACTTATTTACAGTCCTGGAAAACAGAAACTATAAACCTTAACCCTGGAAAACTTCACTATTTTACAGTGCTGCTCTTCCACTTTTTGCACAAGATTAGACCTGATACCTATTGCACTAATGCCCAGTGCTGAATCATGAGCAAGCCTAAAGGGAAGAGAACAAACACATTATCTTTCAAAACAACCATGGAAAGCAAGAGTCTCTTATATTTGCTTGAATAGGAGCAAATATGTCTTTTTGTTTAACATACATCTAGTCTTACAGTCCAATTCAGGATGCCTTTCCATAGAACACTACATGCTATTCAGGACAACAGAAGTCCTTAAAAGTTTAACAAAAAGCTTTTTCATGGATTTTTTTCTTGACTGAAAACTCCCTGCTGTGGGGCATAAAGGTTTGGGGAGTAGATAATACACTCAGTGCAAAAGAAACTGCTAAATAAATAAAAGCAAGGGGTAGAGAAGTTTCCAATCTGTCTCACTAAGTTCTTGGCATGGACCATTTAACCTCCAAAATATTTGTGGGGATTTGCTTTTTCACAGTACCCATGCTTTTCTGCAGCTATTTTCTTGTTGGCACTGCTTTAACTTGTGAATTTAAATCCTTCCTATAAGCACAACTCCCAGACGAATAAAAAGTACATTTCTTCAGGGTGGAAGCAAGACATGGTAGGATATACTGACCTAACACTCCTAATAACTCAAGCTGCTGCACTTTTCTCCAGTGTGGGACCTTGTTGCACCTCTCAATAATCCAGATAAATTAAATACCCTGTCAGAAACATACTACAAAAACTGACAGAGGTTTTCTGCCGCATTAGTTGATTTGATGCTTAGAAGAATGTCCAGAAAGATCTAGGTCTGTACAATCTACAGTGAGGGTTGGAGGGACAAGTCTGGGAAGATGTTTCAGTCTTTCTAGGATGAAGCAGTTTCTTAGGCTGGGTCTCTGGTAGAACTGCACTGTCCCCGTGTGGACACATATATAAGTAGCTCTGTGTCATACGCTGCAGTGACTTAGGTCTGTCTTTATCCTTAGGAATGCCACCACTAGCTAGGTACCTTCTCAAAACAATAGCTGAATCCATGCAAGATATCAAGACAGTAAACATATATAACAGATTAACTCTGTTCTTACAATGCTGGAAATACAACCCGTGCATGAATAAGCCTTTACTTGCTGAGATTTGCAAGTTGCAAAGAGAAAGATATTACATAATAATTTCTAAATGTGCCACTGAAAATGAACACCAAAGCTCCTTTGAAGACTCTTTTGAGGCCATCTGAGAGGCTTTTACACTTACTCTCTTGTGCGTTCTGCTTAGCCGAAGATAACTTGCATTAATGCAGGAATGGTAGTGAAACCTCTAAAGACAATACATAAACATCCTGCTGATTGCAAGAAGAGGAATGATTCATACTAGACATCTTTGGCTTCCCCCCTGGTGTGGATGGTACCTTGCCCTCTTTTTAACTGGTTATTTTTTCTTCTCCTTTGTTCAGAAACTGGCATAATTTTGTTAGATGCTTGGTAATGTGTACATAAAGTACTGAATCTTGGCATGTCGTGTTTATCTCAGGAGACTAAAAATGCATATTTTTAACACCAGGAATGTCCAAATCTCATTTCCTCTTTGTTTAGGTGCATCTGGGAGATATCCCTCTCTGTTCTGGACAAAACTCATAGAGTTGTCCCATTCAGTACAAGCAATGAAAAGCCAGACAGCTCTCTTCTGATTCAACACAATCTGAGATGAGCTGTTATTTTCATTTCTGTATCTGGAATATTAAAGAGGAAGAGACAAATGTGTGTTTCTTGTGGCTTTGTTATATCAAATGCTCTGTTATACGTTGTCTCAGTATTTGCTTGTTTCTGGCACACTGACATTTCACAGCCTACAGTGAACAGGAAATCACCAAAATTATTCTGCTTGCTTTTAGATGTGGAACATACATTGCTCATAATTAAATCATAGCACCATAAATACATATGTTAAGTACAAACTTTGATTGAACTGTAAGAAAATTACCATCAGCCATCTTCAACCCAGCTGTATGTAACTAGTCTGGCTTTGTGATCTCAGCAAAGCATTTAGCCAGGCTGTTTACAGAATAACTGAGGGCATGAGGAGGAGTGAAATTTTCCTCGAATTTTTCAGGCCAGTATTGGTACCCCTGCCTCTTGAGATAACAAAAAGCTCAAAAGTGATGCATTTTGAGGTGCAGAGTGAACCTCAATGAATAAAGGACAAAGTATGGCAAATACTGAAAAATTAACATAGGACATTTGCACAATTTGAAGACTGGCTCTTGCATTGAGAAGTCTCTGTGTTAATCCTAGCTAGCTGGTAGTCATTACTGAGGAAACTGATGTTAGTTGGTATTATCAGGGTCTATTTCCTCTGCTCTTCTAAATGAAACACAGCTGAAGATGGAACGACATGCAAGTCTGTATTCCGGAGGATGTGGCTGTTTTGTATCTCTACTCTTTGAGCAGAATAAATCCACATCTAAGAAGGCATTCTGGAAGTTCATAATTGCATCCAGATGATCACGTGTTGGAGTCTGATCTCTGCTGTCTTCCTGATACAAAGTACTTCAGTCATTCCCTAGAATTAAACTTCTGGTGTCTACAGTCAAGAGCCCAGGCATCTACAAACTAAATTAAAACTGGACTTAAGAGTAGATCTGCAAAAATATGACTTTCATACATACCAGCACCAAAGGGCCAAATTCGAGTTCTAAAGTATCTTTCGTGTCTTCTTGCAATTTTCAACCATAAACCTGGACATGGACACCTAATCTAGTTCACCTTGGTTTCCTACACAAGATAATAGGTCTACTAGATGATGAACCCCAGCAAATAAAACATTTGTGTTCAGCTCTTATTGGTCAAGTAGAACAAGGCATGATCTGACACAGGCCTCCTCCACAGGCTGCAAGTGGATCTCTGCACCCCCTTTGACCTCCATGGGCTCAGGGACACAGCTGCTTCCATGATCTGCACTATGGTCTGCAGTGGAATCCCAGCTGCAGTGCCTGGAGCACCTCCTCCCCCTCCTTCTCACTTCATGATTTGCTTGTACTATGAGGACCAGCTGAGGGAGTTGGGGGTGGAAAGGAGAAAAGGAGGCTCAGGGAGACCTTATCACTCTCTACAAGTACCAGAAAGGAGGCTGTAGCAACATGGGGGTCAGCTTCTTCTCCCAGGCAACCACCAATAGGACAAGAGACAGAGTCTTAAGCTGCACCAGAGGAGGTTTAAGATGGAACTTCCTCACAGAAACAGTGATTAGATATTGGAATGGGATGTCCAGAGAGGTGATGGAGTCACTGTTACTGGAGGTGTATAAGGAAAGATTGGAGGTGGCACTAAGCACCCTGGTCTAGCTGACAAGGTATTCGGTCATAGGTTGATCTCCATGATCTCAGAGGGCTTTTCTACCCTAATTGATTCTGTGGTTTTGTGGTTCTTTGATTCACTGACCCTAGTGCTTGCATAATTGTTCCTCTCTTTTCTTGACACAATTACATCTTTGCAATAATCCTTTCTTTCTTTTTTTTTCTTATATATATTATCACAGAAGTGTTACCGCCACAGATATCCTTGGCCTTGGCCAGCAGCAAGTTCATCCTGGAGACAGCTGTTATTTGCTCTGTGAAACACAGAGGAAGCTTCTTACAGTTTCCCACAGAAGCCAGCCCTATAGCACCCTCACTACCAAAATCTGGCCACTCAAACCCTCACTCAGATGCTGAGTGAGGGCACTACACTTGACCTGAAATAGGGTTAAAAATTCTCACTAAAATCTGGCAACCATTCTCTTGCAACAGAATGTCCCTCCAGGTGCCGCAGTGGCCCTGCTAAGTCATGACAACACTGCAGTAAAGAACCACACTTCTTCTACAAGGGTTACAGTCCTTTAGAGACTACCTAAGAGACATATAATACAGTATGGTTTGTTTCATAGTCCCACCATGTTACTGCCAATTGAATGACAGCAAAATTCAGACCAAGAGGAAGACTCAATGTTGCTGATTCAGGAGATAACTTAGTATCTCTGAAGCAGTGTTTTAATTACCCAACTCTTGTTAGTGACTTTTGGTATGATCTCAGGAGATGTCCTTATATCTTGTTTTCCTACATCTCTTTTTTTTAAGTTTTGCTGTTGCCATTTATCTGTATACACTGAATTCTCGCTCTCCGCTCTCTCCTGATCACATACACAGGCAGCTGAGCTCTCAAATACTACCATAGTGGAGCTATTGTGGAGCTTAGATAAAGCTGATGCAAGCAAGAAGAAAGATATCTCTCCTGTGCTTGAAACAATGCACATTACTGTATTACTATGGAAGGTCCCAGCAGAAATGTGTTACTTGGCTTTAAATTTTGTAATTACTTTAAATATATGAAACATAGGAATTATTTGCTGCTCATAGAACTTTTTTTAATTGGTGTGATGGTGGAAATACTGGATTATTAATCAATGGCCAGGACTAGGTATTATTCAGGTACATAACGGAAAGAGAGCCTTCATGAGTGTACAATATAAGACTGCTGGTACACACAGTTGTTTCAGTATTGGGGTCTTTCTGAAGTGTAAATGAGTAAGAATTTACTAAAACAAAGTGTTTGAACTAGACATGCAGGGAGGAGAAGGAAACCAGCACACTTTTCACTTTTTTTTTTTTTATATTATTCTTTTTTGTGTTTTTTTTTTTTGTTTTTGTTGTGGTTTTTTTTCTTTGTTTGTTTGGGGTTTTCTTTGTTTTTTGTAGGTTTTTTGGGGTTTTTTTTGAGTTTTTTTGCAAAACAGAAAGAAATACTTTTATACAGGACTTCCGGTTCATTACATTCCCCAAGAACATGGATATCACAGCTGAAAGGTTTTA